CCAATTTACCATCCAAGCAAAACCTCAAAGGTCCAGGTTACCAGAGACCTTGAAAGCTGTCTTAGCATTACCCATGAAGACTTTGTGACACTAAATGAGCCATTATTTTAGGTCCTCCTGTTGGTGACAGATTGCAGCTGAGATAGCATGGGCTTATTTGACCTCTATTAACCTTTAGGGATTGCACATGATCTCTAGAATACTCATGGCATTTACCCAAACAACATAACCTAAGACTGAACGACATTTGTTTGGCATTGTTTTCCAGGTAACTTAACACACTGAGTAAAACGGCCTCGTTGGTAAAAAAGACTTCATCTGCAGTTGAAATCTTGGGAAGTTTGTTAAAACCCTAGAAAGTTTTAAAACACATGCCTAAATGGATTACAGGTCCTTTAGGACCTGATAAAGACAAAATATAGAAACTGGCTTTTCTGGGGAGACAGAAAGAAAACAACTATTTACATCTTCTTAGCAAGTACAAACCAATAATTAGAGCAACTTTGTCTTTTGAACAGAGAGAAAAGCAGAATTTTAATCTTTACCATGTACTTTTAAAATCCACTCATTTACTAATTCTGTCCTTACCATACTTAAAATTCCAAAGATCTCCCTGCAGAAACCTTCTATGACTTTACTTTGCATTCCTATTTTGTCCCAAGCCATTTTTGTCCAAACAGCCAGTCCCATCCAGGACAAAATTTACCTTCTTTTACCTTCAACAAAACCTACATTCCTGTTCTTTGCATCTTTTTTACATATCTCCTACTTTTCTGTATACAGAGTTGTTTCCCTCACTCCTGTCTGTCTTCAGGTACAATCTCTGAAACTGCTGCGGCTGTTGCAGTGCGTTCAGAATCCACCTCTTTTAAGACTTTGTTTAGTGCGGCATCTTGTACTTGGAACATCTCTTTGGGAGGAATTCTTTTCTCAGAGTCGTTAGAGTATCTCTTCTCACACTTGCTGGGTGATGCCCCTGCTTGCTTAAGGTGGCTCCGTCTGAGAGCCTGATTCTCACCATGACTGCAGTCTGTACCCCTCTCATCGTCATCCCAGATGTCGCCATCCCAGGGGTCAGGGCCCCACTCACAACCAGCAGAAGCCATAGCTACGTGCACTTTCTCAGTGTCCCTCTTCTCTACCTGGCCATCCATATGGCTGGTTTTTCAGGGTCCTCCTGAGGGTCCTCCCACTCAGGAATATCTACATCAGTATGGAGGTTTCCTCAGAAAGGGTATGTCACGAGTCCTGCCGACTACAACAGTTATGTTCCACATAAAAGATTCAGGGCAGCTGAACTCCGCTTCACAGGGTGAAAAAACACTGCATTGATTCTGTAAAAATCTATTAGGAACCAAAAGAAGAAAAGGGAGATCCACACACAGATGAGGGCAGGAGTAAGCAGTAAAGGAGAACGAGGCCGAGTCACATCTACTCGGGGACTTAGAACACCCAGCCTCAGTGGCTGGCGAAGCCCCGTGGAGACAGCCTGGCTGCAGTCCCGAAGGAGAGGCCTGGGCAGAGCGTCCTCCCCTCAGGAGGGATTTCCCACTGAGCATCCCCACAGGGGCCGTAGTTCTAGGGCAGATGACGGGGTCTGGAGTTAAACATTTGTCTGCCTCCACGCTGTTTGGAGTGAGCTGCATTTCGTGTTACCACGTCTCTGCCTCTTCCGGGAGCCCGGGCTGTGTGTGTTTGCCTCCAACCGGGGGTCCGTTCCGGGGGCCCGGCCCAGCCTGGAGCAGGAGGGGTTGGGAGGCAAGACTTCCAGCTCTTGGCGTCCAGACCAGAAGGGCCCGTTCTGACCTGGAGGCCAGTTGAGGGCCACTAACGAGGCTCCTGAGGTCACTTAGGCTGCACGAGTCTCACACACAACACTGTTGAGCCTGCCTGCGTTCGTGCGGGTCGGGGTAGAAGGTTGTGCTGGACAAATCCCAGAAACCTCCA